CCCTAAACCCTAACCCTAACCCTAACCCTAACCCTAACCCTAACCCTAACCCTAACCCTAACCCTAACCAACCCTAACCTAACCCTAACCCTAACCCTAACCCTAACCCTAACCCTAACCCTAACCCTAACCCTAACCCTAACCCTAACCCTAACCCTAACCCTAACAGCTCTCTTCTGACCCAGCGCTAAAGAAACTGCCAGCGAAGCTGAAATCAGAGATCCAGAGCAAGCTAATCGCTGATGCTGATGGGATGTAAGTAGATTATCCTCCTTTCCCATAGTTAACTGTCCGCCCAGAAGACAATAATAATGTTATTGGACAATAGGTTTCGATGGGTAGATTGCCAACTTAGTGAATTGAAAAGATGCAAGACAAAAGCGCTTTTGATAAAAACTCTCGAGTCGCTTCCAAAGACCTTAGATGGTACCTATGAGCGAATACTCCAGAGTATCCCTACAAACTACCAGGATTATGCGCGCCGTGCACTGTGGTGGCTCGTAGAAGCGCGGAGGAAGTCGCCGAAGCAGCCATTCTTGATGCTGACGAAGATACCCCATTCGATCCGGAAGGTCGTTTTTTCAACCCGCAGGATGACATTTTAGAGATACTAGGAAGCCTTGTATCGGTAGCTGAAAGAGAACACGAAGTTGCAGACGTGAACGACGAAACAACAGCAGGGCTACCGCAACTACAGTGAATGAAACATTCAACGAACTCCGACTATCCCACTTTTCTGTTAAAGAGTATTTGATCTCAACTCACCCATTGAACTGCCAAAACCCCTTAGTTTCCCAGTTCTATGTTGATAGATCTCTTGTTTCTAGCTTCATTCTCCGAAGCTGCCTTCTATACTTATCTCACTACATAGGTTCGGACTATAGAGCTGGCGCGAGGGATGACGTGGACGAATTTCCCCTGCTCCTCTATATATGTGAATTTTGGTTCGCGTATGCAGGAATGCCGCTCGATAACAAAAGTTCTGGGCTATTGAATGATTTCTTCGCCTCAGAGACGCAGGTACAAGCATGGCTGCTTGTTCATACTCCAAACCAACCAAGAAAGGATCTTTTCCAGCCTCCCGATGAGCCAGGCCAGGCTCTTCACCATGCATGCTACCTTGGCTTGACTGGCACCGCCAAGTACTTAATAGAGAATGGTGCCACCGTCGACTGCACCACAGAGAGCGGAGTGACCCCCTTAATTCGAGCAGCTGAGGTATGTTTAATCTCCATATTGCCATAGTATTTCATATGATTTTTGTTAATGCTTTGCTACTAGA